GGGGCAGCATAAGTGTGCTTCTTGGAGTCTGTTTTCTTTCATTTCCTCTCTTTTCATTTCCTGGGTCTCCAATAAGATTCAAGCTTCCAAGCCAGATAGAAATGTTATTGGTGGCTGTTAGAAGCTTCCTAGTGCTGACATATTTTACATCAGGCTTGGTGTGAGAATTAATCCACAATGAGTGTTCCGGCATCAGAAGTAGGTGTATTCAAAGCTCACCAGATTACCGAAAAAAGGGAATTGGGTTTCAGTAGTACAGCAATGTTTGGGCATAAAACACAAGTACTAAGTAGGTGAGCTGTGCTCCTTGTATGTTTCTAAACCACCTCAAGTCCAGACACTTTCACCCCCTTCCAGTCTGGGCTTTTTTTATAGCTTTCAGCAATATCATGACAAATAGTCATGCAACACTTTACCCAAATGAAATTGTTATTTTTTTTTAGACAGATAGAGCTCTCTTTTGGTGGTGTTTAATGAGCACTGGGTTTTTGCACTTTTTTCTATATAAGTGAAAAAGGACTAAACATTAAAAAAAAAAAGTGTTTTTCTTTGTTTCTGTTTTGCAAGTAAATACTCTTTCTTCATAAATGTAGTCCCAAGTATATTCTCTGTAAAAGCTTGCAGCACCACTCAAATCCAGAGACCTAGGAATAACACTGCTGGTATACAGATAATGGGAGCCGGCAACCTGTCATTGATTCAGAACAATGAGGTAAGAGATACAGACGGCGCATCATTTGCCCCAATGTGTTGGCTTCAGCTGCCTCTCCAGCCACGCCATCTGATGCGTTTTGCCTTGCTTTTTGGCTTGGTTACCGAGGTTTTCTGTGACCAAGCCCCAGGTGGTCAGAGTGAAATAAATAAGATAGGCAAGAGTACATCAGGATTGATCAATATATAATCCTGCCCACGGGGGGCTTGGTCACAGAGGTTCCCTGTGACCAAGCCCCAAGCAATCATTTTAGCTGTGTTTGAAATCCATTTGTAATGCTATTGTTCACTATTGTGAATGCTGTGATTGGCCACAGCTATCATTTTGTACAGGGCCAGTCACAGCAGCCCTGCACCAATCACAGAGATCACAGTAGCAAGCAATGCCATCATGAAAGAAAGCTAATGTTTACTACGGACAAGTGATCGCTGTGAATGGTCACAATGATCACATGGTACCAGAGCCAGTTACAGTGGCCTAGTACCCCAACTGGTGATCCACTGTGTCTGGTGGGTACAGTAGTCACAGATGGTACTGCGGAGCACCACAAAGCACAGGGACTGATAAGTGCTTATGTGATCAATTTTCACTGCTTGCCTGTATTGGGTAGTTTGTTTAGCCACCATACCCCCTTCCCAATTACAGTCTGCTTCTAGTGCATGCCACCTCCCAATTACAGCTTGCTCTTGAACATGTCCCCTGCTCAACCAAGGCCTGCATTTTGACTCAGACTAAACAGACTATGGAATAAAGACCCACTTGTGTTTATTTACTAAAGTGGGAGAGTGCAAAATCATGAGCACTTCTGCAGTGAAACCAATCAGCTTCCAGGTTGTTTATTTTTCCCATAAAGAGTTTTATTGAAAAGTAACGCAGTACAAAGAAAATTGTGTCAAATAAACCAAGAAAAGTGCAAGTGCAAAAGATCCAAATAAAGTATCTGAGATATGTACACAACAGTATAACATATACAGGTTTGACTCATAGACTCAGGACTTTCGTTTTAAAACATCCAGTATTCACGTTAACATGACAAGATATGGACCCCTATAACCGGGCCATTAGAAAATAGAATAAATTGTTGTAAGGGAGCCCCTCCACAGTAATTATATCTCTGAAGCAAAGTGAAGATACCTCTACAACTTTATGGGGCCGGCCATGTACCTGCCAATGTGGCTGTGTGAAAAAGAAAAAGGATTGAGGAAAAAAGAATGGGGGGAGGGAAAACAAGGGGAGAGGAGAAGGAAAGAGAAAAAAAAATGAGGGAAAGGGGACAAGGTGGGGGGATAGTGAGGGAAGGAAGGGGGAGAAGAGGGAAAGATAAAGGGTAAGGGGGGGGGGGGATTAGGGAGAAAGAAGAAGAGAAAAAAGAAGGGGGAGAGAGAGAATCAGGAAGAGAATAGGAATAGGGAATGAAAAGGTGATGTTGAATGGGGAGAGGAAGGGATATGCCCTCACACAGCACTCCTCCTGGTGGAACAGGATAGAGAAGACTCACTGCCATTGACTGGTCTGCAAGCAGGTGTGTAGAATAGGGCTGTGTATTCACCCTGTGGAGCGAAGTCATTCAGTATATTCAGGCTGAGTTTGATAATGGAGCCAATACGTCCATATTTTGTGAAAATGCATGATCCTCCCTTGAGATACATGTATCAGTTCCTCTATGTCCTTGATTTTGTGAATGCACTGGAACCACTCAACCACTGTGGGAGCATGGTCTGTATGCCAATGGACAGGGATGCACAATCTGGCAGCATTTATCATGTGCATTGCCAATGACTTGAAGTATAAATGTTTCGATAACCCGGAGTTGGAGTAAGAAGAACTGTGCAGGTGTATACTCCAGGGGGATTCCAGCAACAGCCATGGTGATACGGTGAACGTACATTCAAAAATTTGTTACAGCTGGGCACTGCCACCAGATATGCAGTAATGTTTCAGGTGCTGACTTACACTACCAACATTGTTCAGTTACTGTCGGGCAGAACTTGTGGGCCACAGTCGGGGTGCGGTACCATCTAGTTAGCAGCTTATAGCCATTTACCTTTGTGCATATTAAGGCATACCTCCTCCCAGTCTTCCTCATTGAGGGTAACATCCAAGTCTTGTTCTCCTTTGGAATGTGAAGTAGCACCCGAGCATGTCACAGTGGGAAAGGGAGTCGAGTAAATGGAGATCATGTGAGTCTGAGGTTGCTCCGAAGAACAGGCAATTTCAAAGGCTGTTCTTGTTTGGGCAAATGTGGCACAAGTTAAAGAAGCGTTAAGAAAATGTCTAACCTGAAAGTAGACCCAGAAAGGTATTTGTTCAGTAGGGTCTTACATAGAGAGGGCCATGTGGTCCCTGAATCACCCTCTATCAAAAAAGTGGAGGGCCCTCAGTGTTCTCTTGGGCCAATTGCCCAAGAGAAAGTTAACAGAGGCACCAGGAGGAAAGTCCAGGTTGAACTACAAAGGTGTAAGATGTCCAGAGATCGATGAGATTGAGTAGAGTTTGCAGGCCTGCCGAAAAGTTTGGAGAGTCAATCTCAGAAGTGGGTGGCCTTTTAGTGCATGGTGTGCTTGAGCAGAGAGTATCCAAGGTAGAGCGTGAAGGGGCGTCCCGGAAAACAATTGTTCCTCTTGGACTCAAGCCTTAACTCGGTCATGAACAGACCAATCAACCACCCTATCCAGATGACAGGCCCAGTGGTATTTTTTAACATCTGGTAGGCCTATTGCACCTCTATGCTTAGGCATGGCCAAAAAGGCATGATTGATTCTGTGAGGCTTCTTATGCCAGAGAAACGTAAGCATAGCATGTTTTAGGGAGGCACAAAAAAATGGCCAGTAAGGCTATGGGAACAGTCTGAATAATATACAGGAGATGCAGCAGTAAATTCATTTTAAGAATGGCTGCTCTACCAAACCATGAATAGCAAGAATGGTCCCATTTGCTAGGATCTCTAACTATGTTAGACAAGAGTGGTTGAAAGTTGCATTTATATAGATCCCGCAGATCTGCAGGTAGTTGGATTCTCAGATATGTTATCACGTCTTTTTTCCAAGTAAAGGGAAAATGACCCACACAAAAGGATACCTTCTCCTCTGGTAGAGATATGTTAAGAGCATCGAATTTGGAGTGATTGATGGACAGGTTGGACAAGGACCAAAAGTTATCTAGTTCTCATGATACTTCAGGCAGGGTGGATCGAAGGTCAGTCAAAAACAGCAGTACATCATCCATAAAAGCAGCTATTTTCACCTCACCTCTCTGCGTCTGGATCCCCTGTATCAAGGGATTGGCTCTAAGAGCCCGTAGGAAGGTTTCCAGGGTGAGAATAAAAAAAAATTGTCGAGAGCGGGCAGCCCTGTCTCGTGCCGTTATGTATCTGAAATGCGTCCGATAAGTGGCCATGACTCTAGAGCAGAAGTTACTGTGTATACCCAGGAAGCACAGAGTTAACTCCACATAATCTTAGACAACCCTATCGAATGCCTTTTCAGCATCTAGGGACAGAAATAATCCCTTCCGATGCGTAACTGTCAGCCAGTGATGGACATTAAGAGCCTTTCTGGTATTGCAGCTTCCAGGTTTTATTGCCAAAGCTTAATTGAATAAGCTGAGGTCAAAAGATGATTGGCTACTATGCACAGCTGCACCAGATTCTTTGTGAACCATCTTTAGTAAATCATCCCTACTGTTTTTTGTCCTGTTACCCCACCCTATCAGAAAAGAAGATGCATGGTCACATGACAGAACTTTTTAACCTTGCAAAAAAGATAAGAAACAATGTTCTGAAACCACGAAAAATCAGTTTTGGTACCTGCATAGTTGTACTTTAAAGCCCTTTTACAAGATGCTTTTTTGCTTCTTTTACAAAATAAAGCAAAGCAAGAAGAGAAAACACTGGGAGGGGGTCACAATGTTCTGTGCAGTGGCGGTTTTTGCCCCTAGGCAAATGTAGTAATAAAATGGCATACTAAGATGAGGTGTGGAAATCCTTTGTCATAGTAAAGTCCTGCTAATATGCCTGCAAACCAGCTGGTAGATTTTCTGGAAAATCCACAAAATATAAACCTGAGAATGTGTGCAGGCATGTACTGAGTGATTGCATTAAAAATAACAGCAACCGAGTCCCAATTTCCGAGGCTCCATGTACACTGCAGCTGATAAACTCACGTTTAGGAGCTTTTCTGCGTTTTTTTTCAGCAGCCCCTGAACTCTCCCTAATGCATCCTATGTGTCCATGTACACTATGTCGTTTACAGTCGTTTACAGGCAGTTGAGTTTACAGTAGTTTTTTTTAACGCAATAAACTTGCATTCAGGAGTAGATTTTATCAGCATTTCAATTGCTAAGTGCTTGCAAATGTGTGTAAAGGCGGCTAACTGATTTTATAAGCGTTTGGAAAAATGTTTTAATTCTTCATTTCCAGATGTTGTCCAGAGCCATTTTTGATCATGAAAAATGCATGCAAAGCGTTTTCAAGGTACTCAAATGGACAAAACACTGAACACAGGTTGTTCTTACCAAGCTTGTCACACATTGTAATGACCAATTCACACCTCAGACCTCTCCCACCCTTGGAAACAAAAGATATGTTAATGACCATTCACACCTCAAATTCTTGTGAAGATCCCCTGCCAGGTGGCCTTAATGACTCACTCCACCAGACACCTTTCCCACCCTTGGAAACAAAAGAAATGTTAATGAGCAACTCACACCTAAGCTAATCTCAACACATACTGCTGTCTCTGCTTCTACCCTCTGTTATTCCCTGAAACAGTCTGAAATAGTTAATAATTTACCACTTTCCAGTGCATTCTGGGCATTTGAGAGGTTCACCTGTGCTTATCTTTAAAAAACTCTTCTAAACGCAAACCGCATAAACACGGTATGCAAACGCGGCTAAAAAGACGCTTTTTAACCTACGTTTTCCAGCAGTCAGTTTCCATTGTTCAGAAGTGTCCCTTGTACATGGGGCCTTAAAGGTTTCTTTACTAGGCTGAGGCTTGAAATAATTGCTGTGCACAATGGATTAAATATTTTTATAGTAGATCTAAAACTAAAATGTCTAATTTTGGATAAAGTAGAGAATGATGAAAACCTTGCCTTTTTTTTTTTTTTGCAATCTGTCTCCAATTTGGGGATTTTGCTTTACTTGCTGTCCTGTATGCAAAACAGAAAATGAAAAAGAAATATCTCCCCTATTATGGATATCCCTTAGATGTTTGCCACTTGATGTCCCCATTAATTAAATAAATTCCCTCCTTTTTCAGTCCCAGTGACAGTAGTCATCAGGACCAATAGAAGCTATATCTCCAAAACAGAGACACAGAATAGGGTCAGACTGCTAAAATATTTGACTATTCCACTTTAGGCCACCATATGTGTAATTGTTAGGATGCACTATTTAACAATTAAACTATAGATATGTTTGCACACTGATATTGGGTTTAAGGCAAACTTATTATTTGTCTTTCTTGTTGGCATTTAACATATTAGTGTGGTCTTTTTTATGTCTTACTGTTATCGGAGACTGTGCCCCCACACATCTGCTGCTTTTTTATTTGTTACGTATTGTATCTATCATTCTTAACCATTATGATTTGCTTTCTGTCTGTGTGTATAACAAAGCATGCTTTCTTTAATCTACTTTCTCCACCAATTTTAGCTCATTTTGTTGAAAAGGTGAGCACACCCAACATAAATTCTCTATCTCAGGATCAATTAAAGCGTAACTAAAGGCAAAACTAATTTTTTTTCATTTGGATAAAGTGAGGAGGAATTAGAACACCTGTCAGTATTTTTGCTTCTGTGCCCCTAATTAGGGAGACTCGCCCTTTCTAATTGTCCTGTTCAAGAAAATCCCACATTTTGGGTTGACTCCAGGGCCGTAATAGAGGGGAAATCTTTCAGTAGGGACCTAGTTCAGGTTTCCCTGTTGACACCCTAGGTTTCCCTCACTTTGGAGGCATTTTCTTTCACTTCTGGTTTTGACTATGTGACAGGAAGTGAAGAGAAGTTTCCCTTATGGGACACAGCTTGAAAAAAAAACTGATAGGGGTTATAACCCTTCCCTTCAGATATACAAGATGTGCTAACTGTAAAAAAACTGACAAATTACAATACAACAGTGCAGCTTGTGATGTGAATATGGTGTTTCTGGCCTGTAGATTGATAACAGACACATGTAATTCTCCACTGGACCTTTGTCTAATTTAGTATCCATGCGTTTAGAGGTAAAGGGAATGTTTAAATGCATGAATGACCTGCAGAAAGCAAACTGGGCTGTCAGCTCAACTATTGTGTCTTTGAATGAGGGAAGCATCTGGAATTACAGCAAAAGACTCACTCATTGAAATCAGAGTTACCGTGCATACATTTGTTTGCCAATTTATAAAACATTTTTAGAGGTCAATACTATATGCATGTGTGTGTGTCTGGGCATGTGTATACAAAAAAGAGAAAGAGAGAGAGGAAAAAAGAAAGATAATATATATGTGTTTGTGTAGTATTATTAAACAACACTGATCTTATATCTATAGCATGTTTGGTTTGCTGCTTTTTATGTTTTACAGAATACATTAGACTATATATTAATGTGAAAATAATCAGGTAAACAGCACAGTTATTTTGTCATCTTGCCAGATGGTTCCCTGTCAATCCAGGTAGAGTGTAACATAATAAAGGTTGTGCTGATATAGCTAGTTCTGTAAACCCTAAATGAAAAGCATCCAATAAAATGTACAGTCCTACAGTAGTATACAAAACAGTTTCTGTAAAATGCACTTTCATTGTGATTGGGTGGGAGAATACATGTGTTTAGGATATGCAAATACACTCAAAGACCTGTTACATATAAAAGGGTTAGAATTACTCTATGGAAACACAGAACATTTGGAACAGCTGTCTCTTCACCATGGGCAAGGTAACTTTATCCCTTTATATTTATATAAATTCTACATACTTGAACTGTTTAGCGTCCGTACAACACACCAAGGTTTTATACCAAAATAATGCATTCAGGCAGGTTTAGTTTTGTGGAATTTTTTAATTTTTGGATATTGTTCACTGGTCATTTTTGCAGCCATTTATAAAGTAGCAGCAAATAGGTCTGCCTATACAGAAAGTGAGAAATAGTATTAGAAAAGTTGTGAATAATTAGAGACTAATCAGCAACAAAGTGATAAATGAGTAAAGGATATCAATTTGACTACACAGTATTTATAGAGTTAAAAGTTCATGAAGTTTCCACAGTGTGTATAGAATTACAAGAGCGTGTCTTACTGATGTCTCAAAGGGGTTTATCTACTAAAGCTGGTTCACTCAGAATCTCCTGCACTTCTGCATGGAAACCAATCAGCTTCCAGATTTTATTGCTAAAGCTTAATTGAACAAGCTGAGGTTAGAAGCTGATTGGTTACCATGCACGGCTGCACAAGATTCTGAGTGAACCAGCTTTAATAAATCTCCCCCAATCTGTCTAATAATACATTGTTACATATGAACGTATATAAAAGTGACAGGGCATTGACACTTTCCAATTACTACCAAAGCAGAGCTCCAGTATTTTTTTCTAGTTTTAGAAAGCATGATGGAATGTTAGAACTGAAAAAAAAACACAAAAGAAGGAGCGCCATGTCCTGCAAATTCACTTGAAAATTAAACCTTAAGTCAGAAAATCCAAGGAAAGCCAGGAGCAACATAAAAAGTCACAATTTATTAAACTTGGAGTATTAAAATAGTCATAACAGTTTTCCACATAAGTGACCTGACGAAGGGGCCCGCCTCGAAACATGTAGTCACCAGACTCTACTGACTGTGTCCAGTTAGTCCATATGCTTCACATGCCCAGCACCTACCACTAAGGATTGACCTGGTTTCATTTCCAGTTTGGTAGTGTTTTCTCTGTGGATGCCCTCATAATTGTTCATAGTCTATTCCGTGCCAATCTCTTTTTCAACAACTTACTGTGGTATTGCTCCAGTGCCACTTTCTTTGTGTGTTTTTCTGGAAGGTTATTTATTTATTTCAGGTACTTATATAGCACCATCAATTTACACAGTGCTTTACATATATATTGTACATTCACATTGGTCCTCATTAGGTACAATCTAAGGTCCCTAAGTCACATTCATAAATACACACACTAGGGACAATTACCTACCAGCATATCTTTGGAGTGTGGGAGGAAACCAGAGCACCTGGAGGAAACCCACACAGGCACAGGAAGAACATGCAAACTCCAGGCAGGTGGTGCTGTGGCTGGGATTTGAACCAACCACACTAGTACTGCCAGGTGGAAGTGCTAACCATTTAGCCACTGTGCTGCCCACTGGTTATCACTGCTGTCAAGGTTTTTATTGCTATTACATTTATATCACTTTCAATATTTTTTTTTGTCCTGGTGACCACCTTCCTCTATTAGAAAGAGAAACCCAAAGGGTTACGGATCCCACCAGAACAGTAGTAAAGGAAATGCTTGTGTTAGTGACAAATGATAAGTGGTAAGCTTTCCACTTTTTATGGTTTTTATAAGGAGATTTCTGTTTGCTTATTACCATGTGTCAGGAACAGGTAATAAAGGAAAAGCTCTTTGTTGAGGGCACAACAAGTAATAAAACATGACAGAAGTTCTATTTCTCCCTAAAAAAATTGGAGAATGTCCCTTTAATAATTTCAGAGCGTAATGTACAGGCATATACCTCTTTTTTAATTTAATTTTTTTTTCTATTGTTCAATGGCACCAACATTGTATGTTTGTATGTTTGTGTGTGTGTGTCTTCTCAACTGTTTTTCTTTACTAGTTTAAAGAAATGTATAAAAAAAAAAAAAAACTGAGAAACTCAAAAGACAAATACTTCAAATCCATATTTCTCTACTGTTAGGGCTAGTTCACTGTGTTGGGTAGCTATTCCAGCGTAGTCCCACTGCATGGGCACGGAGAAATGCCTTATGTCCTATGTGCATGGTTCACACCATTGCATCGCATGTACTTTTTTTATATTTGCGCAGTACAATGTGAGGCACCGCATGGCTGGCAATTAAAATTTATGCAATATCTGTGTGACATCTCAATAAAGTTTGTTTTTATAAAAAGGAAACAGTGCCATGCACTGAGCTCAGCACATCATCGCTGAGCAGACCTCAGACCCACTGCTTCATACACTAACCCATAGTATTCAGTTATTTATTTTTCCAGGGCCACATTTTTACTTCCTCTCCTCCTAGGCCAGTTGTCCTGTGCCATTCCTTTCTACCCCAGTGAGTTGGCAGATCTTATTAACACACTAAATAGATCAGAAATCATAACTACATCATAACTTGGCCCAATGATAAGAATAGTAGGTTAAACAAAATTAGCCGTACTATGCTAGAAATACAGGTCTAGGTATATGAACCCAGAGGAGGTGAACTAAAATGAATTATACTAACTAAAAGAAAAAAAATCACAGATGTTTGGGGAAAAGCGAAAATGAGAACCCAGGATAGTGGCCATTAACCACTTGCTGACCGTGCTATAGCCGAATGACAGCTACAGTGAGGTCGCCCAGTTCTGGGAGGGCATCACATGCGGTGCGCACCCAGTGCTCTCTGTGTCCTTAGGACACAGCTGACCACATGTCACGGTAAAGGGCTGTTTACCACATGATCAGCTGTGTCCAATCACGGCTGATCATGATGTAAAAACACTTGCCGGTTATTATCAGTGCAGCCTTAAGAGTGCCCATCAATGCCAATCAATGCCCAGCAGTGTTGTCAGTCAGTGCCCAGCAGTGCTGCCAATCTGTGCCCAGCAGTGCTGCCAGTCAGTACCCATCAGTGCTGTCAATCAGTGCCTATCAGTGCTGCCAGTCAGTGCCGCCTATCAGTGCTGCCTACCAATGCCCTTCAGTGCTGCCTATTATTACCCTTTAATACTGCCTATTAGTGCCCATCAGTGCCACCTATCAGTGTTGATCTTTGCTACCTATCAGTGCCACATATCAGTGCAGCCTCATCAGTTTCTCCTCATCAGTGCCTACCAGTGCCTCCTCATCAGTGCTGCCTATCAGTGCCGCCTCATCAGTGCACATAAGTGCAGCCTCATCAAAGCACATCAGTGAAGGAGAAAAATGACCTGTTTGCAAAATTTTATAATAGAAACTAAGTTAAACATTTTTTTTTTCAAAATTTGTGGTATTTTTTTGTTTATTTAGCAAAACATAAAACACCCAGTGGTGATTAAAACCACCAAAAGAAAGCTCTATTTGTGTGAAAAAAAATTTATAAAAATGTTATATGGGTACAGTGCTGCATGACCGCGCAATTGTCATTCAAAGTGCAACAGCACTGAAAGCATGGGCAGCACAGTGGCTTAGTGGTTAGCACTTCTGCCTTACAGTAATTGGGTCATGGGTTTGATTCCCAAACATGGTACCTCCTGCATGGAGTTTGCATGCTCTCCCTGTTTTCGCATAGGTTTCCTCCTACACGCCAAAGACATGCTGGTAGGTTAATTGGCTCCTGTCTTAACTGGCCCTAGTATGTGTATGTATGAATGTGAGTTAGGGACCTTAGATTATACACCCCTTGAGAGTTAGGGACTGATGGGAATGTACAATATATATGTAAAGAGCTGTGTAAATTAACAGCACTATATAAGTACCTGTAATAAATAAAGCTGAAAATTGTTCTGGGCAGGAAGGGGGTATAAGTGCCTGGTAGGCAAGTATTAAAAAAGGGAGCTTGTGTTAACCTAGCAGCACTGACAAAGACATAGCAACTGTTGTTGGTTATGCATAATCCAGCACTGACTTTATTTCATTTTTATACTGTTGAATATATCTGAGGATTTTTTTTCTCTAAATCCATTGTAAAATACAACTTTATTTCTCATAAATGCAGTGAATACAGAAAGCATTTTACATTAAGCAATCCTTTCTTTTTGTAATGTTTACAAAGGGCACTGTCAAACACAAATTATTTAGTTAAAAAACACACCTTAATAATCAGAAAATAAAGACAGCTTCTGTCTGTCCCCAGAGGCCCAGGTATTCCCCTGTCGGGCGCTGTTAATTTGTCACTTGCACAACATAAAGAAAGTAATGCCAGGTTTTCATATACAGTTGCAAGTCAAATAAACCTTTATCTTTCCTATAGTAGGCATGTGCCACTGCTCTTTACAATTGTGGGAACTGGTATTGTCAAAATCTGACAAAAATGGGTTATTTATTTATTTCAGGTAATTATATAGCGCAGTCAATTTACGCAGCGCATTACATATATATTGTACATTCACATCAGTCCCTAACCCTCAAGGGGCGTACAATCTAAGGTCCCTAACTCACATTCATATATACACATAATAGGGACAATTTAGACAGGAGCCAATTCACCTACCAATATGTCTTTGGAGTGTGGGAGGAAACCGGAGAACATGCAAACTCCAGGCAGGCGGTGCCGTGGCTGGGATTTGAACCAACGACCCTAGTACCAAAAATGGGTTATAGATCATAAAGTCTGTAAGCTACCATACATATTCACATACAGATTCATATTCAACTAGATGGGGACACCTGCATATTTTTATTTTTTATATAAAATTTACAAAAATGCTGTAACATTGTACAATTGTTTTGAAGTTTTCTAAAATCTGTAATCTTCTTAACGCTTCATTTTCTGTTTTAACTTTGTTGCAGATTATTTTTTACGAGGACAGGAACTTTCAGGGAAAGTCCCATGAATGCTCTGGTGACAATGCAGATCTGCATTCTTACTTTGCACGCTGCAATTCAATCCGTGTAGAGAATGGCTGCTGGGTGATCTATGAACGTTCCAATTACATGGGACATCAGTATTACCTGAAGAAAGGAGATTATCCTGACTATCAGAGCTGGCTGGGTTTGAATGACTCTATTAGATCTTGCCACTCAATCCCTCTTGTAAGTTATTCTTGCAATCAGTCTTCAGCATGTAATTACCTTCGTACCATTCACATGTAACTGTAAAGCACTCTCATAAGATTAAAAATATAGATATCCGATCTGGGGCTGGTAGGTTGAGCTAAGAACTCTTGCTGCTCTTAAACCTAAAGATGTGCAAGAAGCTAATAATAAATCTGGCCCTTGCTGCCTTTTCTGCCATTGCTGTCCAAATATTGTTGAATGACAATACCAATGTTCAATAATGTAAGTGACATTTTCTTTCCCAACCCAAACTGACTGCATTAGAAAGACTCAGTCTAATTGGTCCCTTAAATACACTGGATGTTATGTGACCATGTCACAGATAGTACATGAAATTAGGTTTCTGAAGTCATCCCAAGCCAGGAGAATTTGCTGCACTCTGTAAGAAAGTGGATAAGGAATTCTGTCCATATGGTAACATCTATCAAATGGCAATCTCTTTCATATGGCAGTCTCTCACATTGTATAATCTCTTTAATGTGGGACTGTTTCTCATGGCATTCTCTCTCTCATTAAATACACTCTTGTGTGCCCACAATTTTCTTGTACTATGGTAGCATCCTATAGTAATATGGCAGCATTAAAAGATAATAAGGGGTTTATTTACTACAACTGGTAAAATCCGGTGCAGCTCGGCACAAAAACCAGCTTCTAGGGGATTTTTTTGTTAAAGCTTATTTGAACAAGCTGAAGTTAGGAGCCAATTGATTACCATGCATCGTTACACCAGATTTTGCACTCTCTAGTTTTAGTAAATCAAACCCTACGCATATATGCATCATACAGTATCTGATTATGTCAGAAGAGGGTCTCAAAAATAAGGTCTAGGATACTTGTTGAGTTGTGTTCTGGTCTACAGACCCATGAATGTCTCTTTAAACATGACAGGTACCTCTGGTAAAACAGTTACTAAATTCATACATTTGGATAATTTGACATTGGTATCTACAATACTGCAAAACTGGTTCAAGGCATTTGTGTCTTGAGCCAATATAATATAATATAATATTTGAATCATTTTAATGTGTGTTGAAGGCATATAGATCTGAAGCTACCCTCCAGGCCAAAGGTTTCCAGTCCCTCCTTGACTGAGCTAAATATCATTTTTATGTTTTATTCATAGCACCGTGGTTCTTACAGAATAAGACTTTATGAGAGAGAAGACTTTCGTGGTCAGATGAAGGAATACCAAAATGATTGCTCTAACATCTATGAAAGCTTCCATGTTCATGATGTTCTATCCTGTAATGTGCTTGAGGGCTACTGGATATTCTTTGAGGAATCTGGCTTTAGGGGAAACCAATACTTCCTGAGACCTGGAGAATATAGGAGATATAGCAGCTGGGGAGCCCCAAATTCCAGAGTTGGATCTTTGAAAAAAATCATGGACTTTTATTAGATGCAACATCATTTAATTTGTTAAACTTGTTTAACTAATATTTGTAAAGAAAATAAATCAATACAAATGTGGCTTATTTTCTGTTTTGCAATTTTTTCATGTATCCTATTTTCAATGGATCTTAATACTAAAGGCATTAGGTTGAATACTACATATAAATATTTACATGTGGTTCCTCTGGTCAATCAATCTTTTAAGTAATTACAGCATTTATCAGTGTCTGGTAAATGAGAAGAATCTGAAATTTCTGGGTGTTTTGATTCTTTTCCCCACCTTACCACTCACTATGACATCAGTTCTGTTATCCGTATGTCTCATGATCTGTGTATCCCTTCCATCCTCTAGCTCTTCCAATTAACAACTGAATGTTATGTGAACGCGCTGCTATAGTATGAATGCAGCATTATTCTGTTTGAAAACTGCAAAAAAAAACAAAAAAAACATAAGTGTTGAGCTTGCCAGAAATCCAAGCTAATAATTTCCCGTGTGTTCCGCTTGTGCTGCACTCTTATCAGTTTGTTCCCAGATATCTCTGTGGCCAACACTCTATATCTTATTGAGAAGAGTAGAAGAGGATAGGGGGAGTGTGAAAATAATGAGGTCTGAGAGCCCAAAAACTGTGTAGGCAAACACAGAGCAACCCGGTTGTTTTAGCAAGCAAGCAGTGACAGCTAAAAAAAAAAAAAAAAATCAAAGACACAGAACAGGCTTCTATTCACATAGCCAGTGAGTGACCTTCTCTCAAAACATGTTTATAAACCAAGGAATACATCTCCACTGCCAGTACTGAACACATTGGAAGGGGATGTCATCTGCATTAAGCCAGAACACTATTAAGCAAGGTGTTTCCTACACAACACAGGTGACATAAATACATCTTGGCCAAGTGTCTGCAAAGTCCTGAAAAAACATTAAATTGGCATTGTAAACTGCGGATGGCTATTATATGTAGAACCCTGAAAACCCAGGATCAGTCGAAGGGTTTGATAGTAAATGACTAATTGGATGCCATACAATCATTTAACAGGTGCATCTCAATCCAGGCCTGTAAATGGATTTCAAAAGGCCTGTCAGATACACATCTGCAGTCTTGGTTTTGGATTACATGGGGTTAAACTATCTACAATTTTCCTAACTTTGTTTATAATGAAGATATCTTTATATAACATGTATTTACTGATGTGTAAGCAAGTAACCATCATCTTAAGACTAAACATGACTATATTATGAGGCACAAGAGGAAAATTATAAACAGTCCAATTCCTAGGTGATAAAATATTACATTAATACAATGATGTACTGGTAACTAGACTGTAACCAATGGGAACATGAACACTTTAATGACTTTAGAAAACTGTATATCACAGATGGGCAGCTACCTGATCATAAATATTTTTACATACAGTATTCTGGGCACTCCCCGGAACCCTTGACTGGACAAGTCATTGGTCAACATCCTTCTCTGGGACCAGAATAAAGGAGCTGCATCAACAGCCTGAAGCTCTCCTTTTTCATCAAATTAGGAACATCTACCAGGAATCTTATTTCATGACAGCCAAAGATCAAGATTTATGCCAATTGATTGGACTTTGCTGGAACCCAGTTAGCCCAAGACTTTGTACTTTCATTCTTATTTCCTTTTAGTTTTGCTGTTGTATTACTGTCTCTTTTCTTCTATCTGTTAAATCATTTAAAGCATTAATAAACCGCATCCAAAAATAAAGAAAAAAACACCTCCTACAAGGTAAAGGCATAATGTGCTAGTATGCATGCAGACCTTGAAACAAAGTCATGGCTCCCTGGGGCTTCCATCTTCACACGGTCTTCCTTCTGGGTTCGCGAGCCTCTGGCTGGCTGACTGGTTGAGCCGTGATGATGTCACTCAAAGAATCTCTGTCTCTTTAAAAAGTGCTACTATAATGTAAAGCTTTTGGTGTGTAATAGGTTAACTGCATAGTAAACTGACCCTGATGTTGATCACTCTCAGTCTGCTGACACTTAGATTGTGGTCTTGTGAGCTGTAAAACCTCTATGCCGGTGAGGCTGAGAAAGCCATTATCATGAAGCATTCTGAGGAAGTGTTTTTGCACACAAACGCGTGGAGAGACTTTGTACATACCACACATCCTTTGATCACAGGTGGTGTTCTATAGTAAGTTACGTCCTAGGGTGACAACCAGGGGCTGATGACCTCTGGTGGAAACCCATATACGGGCAGTGGTGGCCCCTGAGGACATCCGGGGTACAGTAGAGCACCAGGCGCCCCATGAGATGCCCCTGGTAGTGCATTTTTGTACAAATCAGAGATTTTTTTCTGAGTTTGGGGAAGGGACACAGGGGCCCTATCACTGATCCCCTATTGCCCGGACTGGGCTCATGAGTTATGTGTTCATCCACTGTTTTTTATGCTGTTCATGACAAAAGCGCTGCTATTTCTATTTTTCATGGCTGTATATGTACAGGGCCATGTGCTCCTCCCTAAACATTGGCTGACAGTGTGTATGGAGACACATTTATTTATTTATTTCAGGTACTTATATAGCGCCATCAATTTATGCAGCACTTTACATATATGTTGTACATTCACATCAGTCCCTAACCTGCAATATAGAACTGTATGCATGTAGCCATTAAGATTTGCATACTTTTGCATATACAGCCACCACCAACTATTTATTTATTTCAGGTACTTCTATGATGCTGTCAATTTTCTCAGCACCTTAAATATATATTTTACATTCATATCAGTCCCTAACCCTTAAGGGGCGTACAATCTAAATTCCCTAATTTACATTCATACCTACACATACTAGGGACAATTTAGACAGGAGCCAATTAACCTACCATCATGTTTTTGGAGTGTGGGAGGAAACCGGAGTACCTTGAAGAAACCCGCACAGGCATGGGGAGAAACATGCAAATTCCAGGCAGGTGGTGCTGTGGCTGGCAATCGAACCAATGACGCTAGTGCTGCCAGGCAGAAGTGCTAACCATTTAGCCACTGTGCTGCCCCTACTATTCATTTTTACAGGCTAACTGGGTATGCTGCAGCTGTCACGGGCCAGAAGTAAAAAATATGGCTGCATTGTATAATACGAAGCCATTTGCAGCTATGTATGTATATGAAGCCTTATTTTCACCTGTTTATCCTGCCAGTAAGTCTGTCATTTTTCAACTTCCTTTAACAAATCAAGCTGTCCAGAAAATGTGGCAGTTAGAGGGTTCAGACAAATCATTTCACACTGACAGGAGTACTGACAGTTGACGGCTTTTTTAATTAAACCCTTTGCCCCCCCCCCCCCCAAAAAAAAATGTACTAACTGCTTACAAATTGTTGTTAGCTGGAGTTATATTTAAATTTTCTGGTCACTTATGTTAAGTCTATCTAAATCTACTAGTTTATCTACCATTGCTCCCGCCACAAGTTTACAATGCTGCTCTCTAGAATAGTGAGTAAGCTTAGTCATCCTAAGAAAGGAACTGTGTTGCTGTCTGTGTCACAGGTGAAAATAAAGTAAGAAAGCCTAAAAAAGAAAAACTAATGCAGCCAGTACATCTATGGATAGGTAAGCTGTGATATGTCTTGTTTCTGGGTTTAGAAATTTTTTAATGGTTATCCTAAAAAAGGCAAGTCAAAGTCGAGACCTGTCACGCTTTACCTTGACCTGAATAGTGCCTTAACACCGCACAGCCCACTGGATCATGTACCTGTACATTAGCAGGGACTTCCAGGTTTGAGAGTGCACACGTGCGCGCCCACTGCTCATTGCACTGTGGTTGGACAATGATTCATGCCTGAGACCTGCTGATCGTCTGGGTCCAATCACAGCACAGAGCCCTGTTTTTACAAACACACGGGGCTGTGTACACTGATCAGTGATCTGGCTATTTCTCTTCCCTGAAAAGTAGGGAGAAAAAACGGCCAGATGGAAAAATATGAGCAGCACACATTACACACATTATACACATTATACATTGTTAGGCACATATTTAACCCCTTGATTGCCCCTAGATGCTAACCCCTTCCCAGACAGTGTCATTAGTACAATGACAGTGTACATTTATTACAGTACTGATCACTGTATTAGTATCACTAGCAATGTCAGTGTCAGTTCGTGATGCTCCCAGATAGTGTCTGTTAGTGCCATGACTAGGGTAGTTCAGATACACCTGTTGCCTATGCCCACTCTAAAACTACCCCCCATTTCCACCCCCCTATTTCCTTAAATAACGACACCAACACCCAAAATTGAGTAAATGGTTGAATCGGCCCCTTTATTAAACAAACCATAAATACCAGGAAAACATTCCACCGTTATAAACAAACCAGCTCCAAGAACAGTTGCGGATCCTTGACGATGACATGACACCTCCTCACACCATTTTGGAGTCTGTGGTACCATTAAGCTAGGTTCTGTCCCCAGCCACCAAACACCGTCTCAAGGACTATCCTAACTGACCACAGTCCCTTACCAACCTTACCTCCCCGGTCAGTCTAAACTGAACCAGACCATCCGGAGGACTCCATGCCTGAGATAGTCCCACTGTTTTACCAACATACCACATTTTTAGACCCCCATCAAGGACCCCAACCGCACCCCACCTACTCCAAACAAAGTAAACCCAATTACCAGGGCAGGAGGGAGGGACGTTCCACTGACAATTTCCAGCTTGCAAGTGACGCTCTGCACTCCACCCCACCAACTGTTCTTTCTTCAGCTGCTCCCATCACCCTGTCCATGCCTCCAATCCGGTAAGTGTGCTCTGATTTCATATATCAACAGCACCTTAACCCTATGCTGTCAGATTTTACTTCCACCCTGTCATGTATGCCCTGCACTTATTCTCTTCTTTCAAAGATCCGGTTACGTCTGATTGGCTGCCACTATATTACACCTTATGTCACACATAAGCTGCTGATCACCACCATTACAGTGTAGCATCTATAGCAGCATAAATTCCAGTATATATACTATAATATAAGATGCTATAACCTTCAC